CTAAAATAAAGCGTAATAAGTAGTAGTCAGACAGTCACTATGAACGGAGTTCCAAAATAGAGTTTCCTGGTCAAACCAAGTGAAATATCTTCGATTAGTACTAGACCAAAAATTAAGTTTGAAAGATCACATTGAGGGCATTCAAGTCAAATGTAACAAGTAGCTCTAATGTTGGCCTATGGATCTAAGATTGAGCCCATCGCTAAAAATCTGCTACTTATCAATTTTATCTAGATGAACGCGTTATTGGGACGATACTAATGGATATTTTGGTAGCTATTGAAAATTTATTCGATATTTAAATTAATGCATGGGCCCAAATTAGGGGCATATAGGCCGACATTACATCCATTTCCCCTATATAAAATTTATGTATACTCTTATAAACAGGAAATCCAAACTTTGCCTGACGGACAAACAAGTTTTTAGACCGGCCATGCTTTACGCTGTGCCAATATGGTCTAGTTGTTGCACTACCAGAAAAAAAACCTCAACAGATTCAGAACAAAGTTCTGAAGATGATTTTGAATTTGCCTCCCTGGTACAGTACTACCAACAATCAATACGAAACTAACGATTTTAAATTGGCTCGCTACTTGACTAGCCTATTGGTCCCAAGCAAACGATTAACGTACCCTATTCTAGTCAAAATTCTAGTACTACGCAATGTTTGTTTTGATTCGCTATGAAAGTTTGACAGATAAAATGAGGGGATATTGGTTTTTCCTATGTTTCGAGGGGTGAATCGATTAGCTTGGGACCGAAGAGAGTACCAGAGCTGAGCCAAAAAGTTGAGCACGTTATTTCGGGACCTTCTAGTCTTAGAGTTACCTCTATGGTACTACCGAGGTACATAGAATTTCGAATGTTGAAACTTTAGAACAAATGTCCAACAAAATAATTAACAATAGCAACAATTAATTCCCTTTATGCTTAGATAAGATTTAGTTTTTAGTTTTAAGATGTCAATTGTTATACTGACATGCAGATTTAGCAAACCTGTTTCAAATACTGAATTGCCAAGACAGGAACAATGTAAAAACACTTAGATATATATCATTACAATTAAGGCTGGTAAGTTGCTGTAGTGGCTGGCGAAAGATGAACTAGCCTTCGGCTAAAAATCTCTCAAATGAAGATTTAAAAAAAATGTAGTGGCTGGAGCACCTAGGTTAAAATAAAATATAATTTATTTTGAATAAAGAGTTAAAAAAATAAATAAATGGCAAGCATGCAATTGAGAGATGGGTCGAGGTGAAATATGTCAATAGAGTCTCAACAAATGTTTTTGAAATCTCTTTTGGCAGGCAGAATTGTAACGCTCGTCGGAATCAGCTAAGGATTGTCGGCACCCGGCCGAGTAGTACGACGTTTCAAGTGCAAATACAGCGGAAGAAACGGCTTAGAGAACTCGATGATTCCGACGAGGAGTTTCTCGGATTTCCAGATGTACCAATAAATACCTATTCTCGATGCAGAGGATTAAAACCAGGGCTGGCAAATGTCATTTTCAATGAAAGATCTCACGCGATATTTACAGAGATACTTCTGTCACTATCATTGGATGAGAAAACGATGATAGAGATTTTCTTCAAAATCTCATCGAATATGTTGTCATGACAGAACGTGACAGTGTTGTGATCATCGTAATTACTAGCTCATTGAAGTTATTTGTGCCGAGTGAAATCTTCATAATATATTCACTCTACCGATGTTAGAAATGTTGATGTCGAAACCGCATAAGAATTATTCTCATGAGTGCTTGATCATTGAAAAATGACAAGAAAGCTAATGATACGTAGTTTTGTCTCGAGATAGTGAGAGGACCTGTTTTCTCATCGTCACATGACGGCCGTGATATTTACTAGCTCTGATTGCAACGCGAAGCTTTACGTGGTCGAAGAAAAATTCTGAATCAACTATGGAAGACCAGTGGCAAGACCAGTGGCAAGACCAGTAGCATTTTGTACAGTAGTAAATTATAAATGAGTCCTGGGATTTGCTTCAAGAAAATCAAGACGAAAAATATCAGGTTCAAAACTTTAAGAAAATGCAAAATTGAGAATATTTTTAGATTCAATTCGATTATGTAAAGTAGTGACGAGTTATTGAAATGCTTTATTCTGAATTCTGATACGAGTTAGATTATTTAAATCAGTTCATGTAAATTCATGAGTTCGAAATTAAGTTTTTTGTTTGTTTTTGAATTGATGTTTGTTCGAAAGGAGGAAGGATTGTAATGATCGGTTAAATGTCTAAGCCCAACCTGGTATATACAAGGTGTGGAATTGTAGGCCTAAATGTATTGATGCACTTCGTTTTTCACTCGCCATAAACCATAATTCAGCAGAACTTTTATCAAAATTAAATTTTTATGAACCTACTCGAAATCGAAATGTATTTGCCATAATCCATTTTTTCCTTGATTTGTTTTCCGTCGATCTTATTTTTCGTGCTGAGTACCAATGCTACCGACGCCAGGGAGGCAGCTCCCACACCTGGATCCTACCTGTCGACCCATCCAACTCATGAACCGGGGACCAACGGCTTTACTTCCCTTCCCGAAAGAAGGCGTGATCAGACATGTTATGCATAAGAACATCCCGGCGGCGCCGACTGGGATTGAACCCAGGCCTGCTGGGGTGAGAGGTAATCACACTTACCACTACACCACCGGCGCTGCTAGCTTGGCCATAGCCCATCATCGCACAAATTATGCAAAATTTGGTCAATTAAATCGCATGATGGCGTCTTACAATCAATACTACGAAACCATTCAATGTCTCGGCATAAACTAAAACAATATTTTAACTTCATACGGAATCATAGCTCGTAAGAAGCAAAAATAGAATAGCCGACAATATATTTTTAATATTCTTAAGAAAAACAAATTTGTATATGAATTTGTACTAATCTACATCGGTTGATGAAATAAATAAATTAAAAAAAAAAATAACTCTAAGACCAGAGGTCCCGAAAACATGTGCTCAACTTTTTGGCTCAGCTCTGGTACTCTCTCCGGTCCCAAGCTAATCGATGCACCCCTCGAAACATAGGAAATTCTTCAAACCCCTCATTTTATGTGTCAAACTTTTATAGCGAATTAAAACAAACATAGTGTAGTACTTGTAATTCGACTAGAATGCGGTACGTTCATTGATGTACTTGGGACCGATAAGCTAGTCCAGTGTGAGCCATTTAAAAATCGTTAGTACCGTTGTTCCAACTGGTGGAAACTAAGGCGGAAATCACCGTCGGGGAGCACACCATAGCCTCGAAGCGTGTGTTAAAATACCTGGGAGTGATGATCGATGACCGGCTAAACTTCAACAGCCACGTCGAATATGCCTGTGAGAAGGCTTCGAAGGCCATCAACGCGATAGCTAGAATCATGCCGAACAACGCTGGTCCCAGCAGTAGCAAGAGGCGTCTTCTGGCCAGCGTGTCATCATCGATACTGAGATATGGAGGTCCAGTCTGGGTTCCAGCGCTGGAAACGAAGCAGAACCAAAGGAAACTGAGCAGTACGTTCCGGCTCATGGCCATGCGAGTCGTGAGTGCGTACAGAACCATCTCGTCGGAAGCAGTATGCGTTATCGCCGGTATGATCCCTATCGGCATCACCCTGGCGGAGGACAGTGAGTGCTACAGGCAGAGAGAAGCCGGAAGAGTACGGAAAGTTGTGAGAGTGGAGTCATTGGCTAAGTGGCAACAGGAGTGGAACACGACGGAGAACGGTAGATGGACACATAGACTAATACCGATTCTTTCGACCTGGGTGAACAGAAAACACGGAGAAGTCAATTTCCACCTAACGCAGTTCCTGTCTGGCCACGGCTGCTTCAGGAAATACCTGCATCGGTTCGGACACGCAGCGTCACCCCTCTGTCCGGAGTGTGGCAACGTCGATGAAACGCCGGAGCATGTGGTCTTTGACTGTCCAAGGTTCGAGGCAGTGCGAACGGAGATGCCCGTCCTTAACGTGGAGAATGTCGTTGATGAAATGTGTCGAGAGGAGGACTCTTGGAATGCCGTCAGCAGGGCAGTCACACAGATTATGTCAGAGCTGCAGCGTAAATGGAGAGAAGAGCAGCGATCTAGCAACGCCAGCTAGCGCTGAGAGTACGACAAGTGCATGAGCACAGCCACCCCCCGAAGTAGTCGCTTCACAGTGGTCCCGGGGAATCCAGGCAGAGGAGAGAGTAAGGAATGGGTTTTAGTGGAGCTGCACTAGGCAACAAGTGGATACCACACCGTGCCACCTTCACTACAGGCCAGGCTTCTTGAAGCTTTCCTAAACCTTACTATAAAAAAAAAAAAAAAAAAAAAAAAAAACACACACACACACACACACACACACACACATACATACACACACACACACACACACACACACACACACACACACACACACACACACACACACACACTCTTGACTAGCCTATAGCGTACCCCATTCTAATCGAAATTCTAGTACTACACTATGTTTTTACACATTGAGGATGATTGCTAGTCCCAAGCATCGTCTATTAGTTCTCTATGTAGCAGCTGATTTGAAAATAACAGAGTAGCAACCGTGGGCGGTAAATCATGCTCATGCTCAAGCGTACCCCATTCTAGTCGAAATTCTAGTACTACACTATGTTTGTTTTGATTTGTTTGACAGATAAAATAAAAGGTTCGTGGATTTTCCTATGTCTCCACGGGTGCATCGATTAGCTTGGGACCGAAGATAGTATCAGACCTGAGCCAAAAAGTTGAGCACGTTTCTTCGGGACCTTCTGGTCTTAGATAATATCATCATGTGGAAAATCTTTTTCTAGTACTTTTTTTTTTGTCTCAAAAACACATTTTTGTATATCAAAACACCGAAAAACCTTCTAGGAAGGTTTGGGTTAAACATTAATCAATCAGACCCCGGTTTAGGGTACCACGTTAAAAAAAAATTAATGTTACGTTGAAAATTCGTAAAAAAGAGTCATGAATGTAAAATATAATACCTTTTCCTTTTTACTAAAAAGTCTTCCTAAGCTTGATTTGATGCCCTTTTTCTTTTGAGCGGCTACAACAGCTTCCCGAGTTACTGATGTGGGAGTTTGTAATGCACTAAGCGTATTGATTGCATTATATTTTTTTAAAGACTCCTGGCTACCATGTCGAGATCCGGGCGGTGAAACACCAAAAGAAGCAGCAGTACCGCACCTGTGAATATAAATTATTAAATTATTTTATCACATTCTACATCACTTAATAATCGAATAATCAAAGTGCATTGGAATATCTTATTTTTTTTGCATTCTACAATCAAACAAATATTTTGAAGTTATTAACTAATTATACTATACAATTGATCGATGAGTTTTATTCAATAGAAATTTTAGTGCCCAATATCAATATTATTTTAGTTTCCCGTACAATTAAAAAAAAAAGATTTCAGAAAATTCTTTTTGGATACATTCTCTTTCAAAAATGATTTGGATCTGGAAATATTTGGCGTCTCGTTTTTTTCGGTGAGGTATTACAATATTTAAATTACTATAGGGAAGAGTGCTACTCCGTCGTGATCGCCCATTTCAGTTCTATAGAGCAGAAAACTTAATAATATCATTGATTTCACCGTGCACAAATCAATAATACGTTTGGTTCTAGACTTTAGCTCATGAGCTACAAAGCAAAGCATAACGAGCACATTGTATGAATATTTACACTCATTGTTCTCAAAACAAGAGAAACACTCCTGTCAAACCCATTTTTTCTGCGTCCATTCATAGAACGAAGAACCAGGGATGGAAAATCATTCACATTCATTCATTTACATTCATTTGCCTCTATATTTTTTCATCAACAGAATACCGTTAAATGACGTATAAAGCTTTTGTAGCTTTTGATATTAACTACAACTTTTGTTTGTAACTAAAATCTGAATCTCTGATGCATGATGAAATAGAGCTGGCAGAACTTGTTATTGTTTTTCAGTGAATGCAATTTACATTCACTGAAAAACAATGGTAGGTTCTTATCGCTCTGATTCATCATGCATAAGAGATACAGATTTGAGTTGTTTACAAAAAATGTAGCTAATATCAAAGCCTACCAAAGCTTCAAACACTATTTTACGGAATTCTGTTGATGAAAAAAGTTAGAGGCTAATGAATGTAAATGAATGCACGAAATGAATGTAAATGATTTTCCATCCCTGCAAAGAACAAAACAATGATGTTTCATTGCGTTAGGACGGAATTCAAACTCGTAGAACGAATTGGGAATCAAGAAGTAGTGTTAGATTTCTAATAATATCTCAACAATGCGTGACTCTTTAGCAAATCCAACGGTACGCATAGAAATGTAAATAAATTTGAAGATCATCTGTAGTAGAATTACAGATTAATGCGGGTTGTGCGTAGATGGACGCAAATTTGATCAAAAACCCTATGCTACGTGATTCCTCATATTTTATTTTGAAAATTGCTTTATTGAGCCTGTACACAATCGCATAAACATTACAGAGCTAAGTTATCACTTTTTATGTTGTTTTTGTGCTAACGTAAGAACTCCACGACACACAGCGCGTCGCGTGTTATGTGAGCTAAGTTATCATTTTCATTATGCATTAATAGAATCTAAAACTATAGTTTAGGGAAATGAACCGAATACTAGCCATCGATTTTACATAATTATGAAGAGTGTTTCTCCTTTAGTTTATTGCAGCGTGTTTTAATTATTGAAAAGATATATCAATACCCTTTTCAAACAAATATTCTAACTTATAGAGGTGAACGGGTATGATCGCCATCCGGACAAGATGAGCAAACCATAAATCGTATTTTGTAGAAAATATATATTTTCAACAATTAAAAAAAAAAAAGTTTATGAAAATGGTTTAGATCTAATTTTCAGCCTACTAAGCACAATCCGCACTTTACCTCTCTACCCGGAAAGACCAAAAACTACCCTATGGTTTAGTTCTTTAAACTTAATATTGAGGTGTGCCTTTCATTCGCTCTCACGTTTGTTTTCATAAAAGGAGAAGCAAAACCACACAATAGGGGTCTTCAGATGCGGGAAGTTAACGTTAAGTAAGTGATTTAACGTTGACGTTGGGTGACTAGTAAATAGATAGTTGTGCGCGAATGACAACTACTTCAAGCCTTTCAACTCAAAATTAACTTCCCCACGCAATTTTCGACTTGGGTGAATGGAACTCAATATTAGGTTTTTTTTTCGTTCCGGGTAGGATTGAGATTCCGATGTGTCGCATCCCCTGGGAACGTCATTAGATTATTTACTTCGTCAAATGGAATGGAAACATGGATTTACTTGGAGTTCTTAGGATCTAAAGGTGTAAATATTGATACTTTGCGCTCTTAAAGGCTTTGGGTTGTAAATTTTTGAACTAAAGTATCTAAAGATATAAAAATGTTTTCTACCCGACAGGACGGAAATGGGCGATTAGGCCAAAGTAAATGTTTACCCTATTCAATAATCATCACCACATAATCAGTATTTTGGATTATGTATCCAAACTGGTCCTGTTGCTGTTTATAAGATTTAATAAATTCTATCAAATTTTCTTGAAACACTAAAAAATAACAAATAAAAAACTATTTTTTCTATGGATGGTCGTCTTGCTCCAAGGTGTCTGAGAACAACTTTAATAGTTACTTGTTCATTTAAAGAAAAATAAATCTTCAATAAGGTTACGAGCGGCATCGGCTCCCCCGAGAATAGGCTTGGGAATAATTTACATTAATTTCGTGCATTCATTTATGTACATTAATTTGTCTATAACATTTTTTTATCAACAGAATTCCGTAAAATTATGTATGAAGCTTTTGTAGGTCTTGATATTGGCTCTAAACTTGTAAATAATTCAGTAATACCATCAAAAGCTTGATACATAATTTTAGGGAATTCAATTGATAATAAAAGTTAGAGGCAAATGAATGTAAATTAATGTAAATTAATTTCCATGCCTGCCCAAGACTCAGGGTTTTTTCTCGAGAAAATCGTTCGGAAATCTATCTAAAAGATATTGCAATTATTACACATAAAATTATGTCAATCTTCCCCATACAAGCTGCATTCAAACTGTACTCTATCAGAATTCCATGAAACTTTGCATAATTGTTCAATATGGGTTTGTTATGCAATTGGACCATTTTCTCGCGCTTATTTTTTGTGTAAATGGCGTATTCGGTATTTTTCGGTAGATTATAATCCTTAAACGGCTTTTCAAAATGAAATAACGTGTGTTACAAAGTTGTAGGAAACTGCATTACCTTTTTAGCAAAAATACAAACGGCAAAAAAATCACAAGTTTAGATCAAAAAATTATAAAAAATAATCTAATCATCTTTAATTTAAAAAAATTAAAGGGTTGTGTCCTAGACACGACCGCAGTATGACGTAGAACCTATCTATCTATCTGTATCTATGATACATGATGCATTATATGCATTTAGGTTAACATCCGACGTCCCTCCTTTTTTACATATTTTGCAGAAAAAATACATTCGAAGTCCCTCCTTTTTTACATATTCTGCACAAAACATACTTTCTAAGCCCCGCAACTGACAGGATTTCCCGCCATTTTATTATGAATGGGGCCGGGACAGAACGTTTCTTTTGTGCAGAACATGGAAAAAAGGATGGACTTTGGATGTTAATATAATTTCATATATAGAGGTACCAGATATGTTTTATAGTCAGTTTTTGGTAATTCATCGAGTGTATGTCTCCTGTTAAGCAATTTTTTTGAAAATGTTGGCTCTGTATGTAAAAAATTAATTGTTTATACATAGATAATTGTGGTTTGCTTAAAATTTATGAAAATGAAAATCCAAAAAATGATCGTCAAAGTCCATGTCTTTTTCTGCAGGACCTAGTGCCACGCCGTCCGAAGCGGTAATGAACAGAGGCAGGAGAGCAGCGCTGATTTATATCTTTTCAGATTCAAGCAGTATGATATGCAACCAAGTGGTATTCGTTTATGATGACTGGGTTTGGTAAAAAGGCTTATTTCATGAAAACAGTGATAACATTATCATTTGTACATTTTCAAAAGTTTAATAACAGAAAAATTGGAAAAAAATATTTATTTCAGCAGGTTCGTAATGTAATATCCTACCGATTGGCGTATTTGGATTTTAATTTCATCTATAAATGACAAAGTTACAAGCGTTCAAAACCTAACACTCCTTCACCACACATATTTTTTGATTTGCACCCCAGTATAGTCGACAAAGACGTAGTTCTACGTCAAAAATGTAATTTCTTATCTAATCTAATCTAACAACACCAACACAGCCAGTGCTTGAAAGCATCATGGAAAATGATTGAAATACCTCCATCATTTTTCTTGGCTATTTGATATAGAGATTGCTAAAGTATGATTGTGTCAGTTATTTGTTTTCATCGGGAAAATTTTCCGCTATGAAGTTTTTTTTTTCGATGAAAACATTTTGCGTATACGTATACGTGACGTAGTGTGCGTACGATAAACGTCAGCAATCTCTATATGTTTAACATCTACGATGAGTCATACCAAAACAGCCAGGCCTACTGTGCAGCATTTAAGGGGCAAGATGATTCAGAAGACATTGGACCTGTTTAAATCAAAGATTTAAACACGATAAATACTTCATAATCCAATAAATGAATGAAACGTCGACATCTTGTACCGTACGTTCCGTTTTTGGTGATTATATGATTGGTTGGTCGTTGGAAGTACCTAAGCAAGAATGGTTAAGTGATGCTCTATTTTCCTCTGATGGTTGGGACGTGAGCACTAGCTCTTGTCGTAGCCTTTTATGGCTTATGGCTATAACGCCATTACTTGCTTTCTTCGACTTTTTTATTTCAAATTTCTCATGAAAGTCATATTCCAGAAACTTTTAAGAGACTGAATGTTTTATACGAAAAGTTGTTGTCTGTATCTTTTCTAATAAAAAAAGTTATACCCAATTATATTAAAACAAATGTATAAATTCAAATTGATTTTATACGGGTTTAAAAATTAACATACCCCTAATTTTTTCCTATTATTGATAATAATATATGCCGTAAAAAACTTTCTTTTTGTTTGCCCCTAACCAGATATACAAACATTTGAAAAGGGCCTATTTTTAGTAGAAAAACGTCAATAACTCTTGATCAGCGAAAGATATCGACAAACTCTGTATAGCAAAAATTTGCGCCTTTAA